TGACCCTAGTGAGGATTAAGCGGTGTATAGATAATGGATGGATGGATGGAAATAATGATGGTTTAAAAAGCAAAGGTACAAACCGAGTGCACAAAGAGCACTGAGGAAACAGGGAAAATGGCTGGAACGCTGGCAAGATGACAGACAACAAACTGGGAAGGAACATGAAGAAAGGGGTCAGTACTGGGGCAGGGAGGACAAGCACACACAAGTGGAGCACATTAGGGCGGGGCAGGTAATCACTCAGGTGGCAAAGCATAGAAAGACTGGGTAAAACAGGAGCTAGACAAGACATGAGCTAGGAGTGGGAGCTGGACATGGCACAGACATGCTTTTTGGTGATTCTTGGTTGATCAACCTGATCAGTTGTCTCTCAGTAGAAGGTAACAGTTTGTTTACTTCCTGATCATGGCAGTGTAACAGCTGTACAATGCACTTTATACTTACAAACAACTATTTGCACGGTTGATTTTGGGATCTGAAGCATCTTTGAAATAGCTCCAAATGACTGTCCTGACTTGGCCAAGTCAATGATTTGCTTCTTCAGACCTGTACTCAGCTCCTCAGACTTTCCCACTGCAGCATTTGAGCCTGAGTCTAATTGTCCCTAATAAAAATCCCTCAGATGAGTCACCAGCTGTAGTCAATTGTATTCACTAAGAAGAAATTAAGAGGTCATGTTGAGAAAGAAAAAAAAATGTAATTAATACAACTTTCTCCATCATTAAAGCTGCTAACTCAAGTTGCTGTTTGTATATTTTTGACCATCAAATTTTATCATTTTAAAAAGACCAATAATAAATCTATGAAAAAAAACAAAATGTATAATTGCTTTTTAAGACAAAGACACGTGTTTCAGTAATTCCATCACAGAAAATTAAAAGTTGTAGGAGTCACTGGAAACTCAAGACTGCCATATTATACATGGTCTTTACAGGCAGGCCAGCTGACAGCCTTCCCTGGGCCCGGGACANAGCCATGGAAAAGAACGCACAACTGCTGGCTGGCATATCCTCACATTCCCCGATTTTCCATTAAAATAATACAAGTTACTTTTAAACAAACACAGTTCCTAGGAGACAAAGTTGAAACACAAATTTCTTGGTATTCATTTATTTGCTGTGCTCTGGGCATTGTTTGATTGTTTGTCTTTCAGTCTTACCAGGATCTAGTTTGCAGAAATCTTGAATCTCTCTCGTGGCTTTGGTCCGGCTGACCTGGTTGCTGTGGTTGCAGATGATCAGTACATCCGACAGGTAAATATGAAGAGAAGAACCAGAGTTTGTGACCGTTGATTGCTCTCCTTCATCCTGAGAGCAGGTTTGATGAACACATCTAAAAGTGCTGCTGATTTCAGAATCCGCTGTTCTGCAGATTGCATTGACGTTACAAGAATCTGGGCTCCCAGAGGCACCTCCATCTTGAGTCACATTCAGCTCAACTTCAGACACTGGATCTGTGGAGAATGTCAGTGTGAAATGTTTCAGAACACGGCAGCAGTTATTCTCCATAAGAGTCTGAAATGTTAAGAAACCTACCTTGAACTGTAACGGTGTATTCAGCTACTGGTCGGTCTTTATCCCCTACCACTCGTGCATCATAAACTCCACTGTCTGCTGCTTGTAGATTCTTCAGTTGCACAGAGTGATTTTGTTCAAAAAACTCAGCCCTTCCCTTGTAATTAGTAAAGATTGTTGTCTTTCCCCCAGGAATAAATCTTACTAAGTTGCTCGTTTTATTGAATCTCCAGATAAGATCATCATCTTTCTGAAGAACAACTGTTTCTGTGACGTTCAGAAGAACATCTTTTCCTCTCTGCACGAACACTTGAGTCACAGCACTGGACCCTGTAAAAACAGTAGACACATAATATTAATGTAAAGAACAAGCACAACATTTAATCAACACTGAATTTCTGTGACTTATTTCTAACACATTTCTTGATGAGCAGTTCAAAATCAAACTGTATTGTGAGCTTATCGTAGTTTATTAAATAATGCATTCACATTTCCAACTATTCAAAAATGCCTTTCATTTCTTCAGCTCAGTGTTTTGGCTCCACTTTAATAGAAAACAGTTTAACAGGTGAGACTGAGCCCAATAAGAGTAAAATGCTAGCAAGAGTCTTTGTATTTAGTTTTTTTAATGATGCACAGAATAAAAACAGGATACTTCTTCAGTTGAATCTCCTCTTTTA